AAAAAAAAAAAAAAAAAAAAGATATTCATATTATTGTGATTGGATTTCAAAACGAAAGGATTTTTTTAAATGAAAAACGTAAATAGAAATCAATTAAATTAAAAAAGATTTATATATATATTATATATTATATATATCGTTCAACAATGTTTAAATACATAACATTGGTACTCGCCGGGGCGAAGTAACTAAAAGTTCTAAATTAAGATTTGAATAAACATATATTATTATTTACATACATAATTACTGTATACTTATATATATATACACACATATATTTAATATCACACTCTAATTTATTTTTTTTTTTTTTTTTTTCAGAATACTAACTAACAACTGATATTTTACTTCTTCTAATTTGTAAATAATTATTGTATTTATTTATTGTATTTATTCTATTATTTTGTATATTATTTGTTGTTTATAATTATTTACTTATATATATATAATTTTTTTTATTTTCCTTTGTTTATGAGTAACGGAATCGTTTCGATTTTTATGTTATCGTTATAACTTAAAAAAGTTCATTAACGTGAAAATATATATTTCGGACAAATTTAATTTTATTATTCAAGTGCATAATTTATTTATGCATCGTGAAACTTAGAAAATATGCAATAACGATCGTATAATTTACTCCTTTTTCTCAATAAAAAAAAAATGTATCAATAAAAATAAAAAAAAAAAAAATATTACAACTTTTTACGGCTAAAATTTGAATTCAAGTTTTTAAAAAAGGGAATCTTGAATGATTGGGATTTCTTGGTTAAATTTCGGGAAAACTTTACATAAACAACGGGAATGAAAGTATATAAGCTTGTAACTGTGTGTATGAGTACGCAATGCTTCATGATATAAGTTATGTTGTAAATCAAATATATATTTAAAAGGTTAATACACGAAGAAGGGCGTAATGATTTTGAGGATTGTAAGACAATCACTTTTTTAGCTTTTTAAATATCATGAATAAATATATTTATATTAACTCCTTTTTTTATTCATACGCTTACGCCACCTTCAATTTGATGTGCCGAAGAGGACACATCAATGAAATTTGTATTTGGTTAATGGGCGAATGTGATACATTAAATTCTACCGGTAATTATTAATTATTTTTAGACGATTATTTTTATCATATGATTTTGTGCGCGTGTTTATTAACCGGGAATTCCATATCACAAATAAATTTGGTGATATTTATATATTATCACTTTGTGATAAATTATTAAAGGAATTTTTCAATCAAAAAAAAAATATTTATTATTAAATTTGTTTTTTTCTCACGGGTAAATAATCACTGATTAGGAAAATTTATTGGTATCTTTGATTCTTTATTATCACATTCACATTTTTTCTCTATACCTTTATTTAATAATTTTTGAATGATTTTAATTATTACTTTTTCTTCGAATGATCCGTGCGAAATCACATGTCAATTTTTAAAAACATTACAATTGTTTCATTTCATATAATTTGTCGATAAGAAAAAAGATGATTTTCGATTTTTTTTTGATTTACAACAGTGATATGTATGTACATTGTGAACCCTGTAAATAAGCTTTTCCTATTTAGTATAAACATAATAAAGCGCGAAAACCCGAGACCTTTTATCATGGAATCATGGAATATTTAATTAATATTTTTTTTATTATTTAAAATATTAAATATTTTGAAAAAAAAAAAAAAAACATTTGTAATTATTCACTCATGACTCATTCTTTCATTGATTCCTTCTCAACTTGTTAACTAAATTTGAACTTTACAACCGGTGAAAGCCTCTTATCTTTATTTAGTGTTAATTATGACTTTTAAGATCTGCACATTAATCTCGTACGTTGGTAATGGATTGTAATGGATTAAAGATTTAAGTTTTTGACTATATAATAATTTTAATCAAATAAAAATTATAACGTTTAATGAGTTTTCAGTCTATAAACCAGATATTGATGGAGAAATAATATCGACTAACTACGTTAATTGTATTGCCTTCATAATTGACTAATTAACTATAGTAGCATCAGGTATAACATACACAACACTTAACATACACAACTCCACAAGCTCATTTATTACTACCACCTGACTCCTGAATTTGATTGTCGTAGTTTTGTAAATTGGAGTTGATTTTAGTAATTTCCTGGGAAACTGTATATCTTATATATATCTAATATATATCTAATATATATCTAATAAATATCTAATATACATCTAATATATCTAATTTAAATCGTATTTAATTTCGAGAACCATTACTCCAATTTTCGTAACATACTAAACATACCATAATTCCCTAAATGCAAGTTAGACCGTGCTTTCTATTGAAATACTCCTTTTTCCCTAATAAAGTACCAAAAGTACCAAAAGTACAGCAAGTACCGAAAGTGCCGAAAGTGCCGAAAGTACAGAAAGTGCCGAAAGTACAGAAAGTACAGAAAGTACAGAAAGTACCTGTCTTTAAAACCTCATATAATTGAGTCATAATATCCTAATTTACTTTTCTTATTTTCCGGGTATTGTTTCCGTTCTATTGCCTCTTTCGAAATCCAAATTCTTTTGAAATCTCTGTAATCACCGTAAGACATAGTTGAATGTTGAAAGTAATTTATCGCGAAAGTGCTAACCCCTCAATGGGATATTTTTATATATAAAGAAACGGTTTAACGCATTAAATCTTTATTGTAATTGGCTGGTGCATAGGTTACGCCGAATATGTGTAATTTTTATGTCATTCGATTTATAAAACTTTAAAAATCCCCAACAATTTGGTGCAAGATAAAATTAAAGTTTTCATAAATTAAAGTTAAGGTGAAACGTTTGATCGAAATTTTCGAATATATTAATATATCGTTAATTTTGAGTATATACACATATATTAATAAAGAACAATATGCCATCAATTTAATATATTTAATTATTATTATTTTTTTTTTTCTCTCTTGTAAATTTAGAATAATATGTATTGTATAATGATAATATGTAATATGTAATATGTATGAGGTAATCACTAAAAAAAAAAAGAAAAAAAAAAAGATTTTAAGAATCCTTGTGTTATAATAGTAGAAGGAAGTTCTTTTGAACAATTGAATAATATCTTTGGAACGGACTTAAGTTACACTGCATTTTATCTCTTGATAATGAATGATAATGAATGAGCTTAAAAATTCTTTTAAGATCCCCCGATTTAAAAAGGATATATAAAGTTTGATTATTAATAATGTTTTTTTTTTTTTTAATTTTGTGAACATCCTTTCTCTGATTGGTTATCGATAATGCTAGTTCAAAGTTTAAAATTGTGATCACGCAATCTTTTGGATAGTTTTAATATTGTAGTAGATTTTTTACATAATCGGTAATGTACTGTATTATACTTTAAGAAAAAAAAAAATTTTTTTTTTTGTTTCGTTTTCCGGTTAAACGATATTTGAGTATAATATATACCTCCGATGTAGTATAGTATATAATTGACGAAAATCTTATACATTATCTATACAGTATAATTTTTTATCTATACAGTATAGTTTTTTATTTATACAGTATAGCTTTTATTTATACAGTATAGTTTTTTACACTATATTATACACCATCGGAGGTATATATCATACTCAATAACTATATTATCTTCGTTTTCGTATCACTTGGATTTGAAAACAATTATACACAAAGAAAAAAATATAAATAAAAGGGTTTATAACTTAAAATCACGTGATTTATGTTAAAAGAGAGATTTAACGATAAACTATTTACAATGTAAAAAGGCTATATTGATGATCATCTTTGCATTTATTAAATATTTTTACAACTAAGCCAAAAAGTAAATAATTTATTATCACCGGGATATACCAGGATATATTTATTCATAAGAGGATTATGTTATGTTCGAATTTTATTTATTTTATAAATTAGTCATGTGATATTATATTCGGAGATGCAGAATCTATTAATTATTCCACTTTAAATGTCTTTATTAAAAATTTTCAGCCTAAAATTTTAAGTTTAAATGAGAAATAAATTAACAGATCTGATCTGAATTTAAATTAACATCTTTTACATCAAAATACTGTAATTCTAAGGTTTAAGACTGTGACTAACTTTTGATAATATTAAATTAAATGTAATACCGTTTAAGATTAAAATAATAACCACAAATTTCTTTGTGTCATTTGAACTCAATAGTCAATTTAGTATCAACAGATTTCTTTGTGTCATTGAACTCAATGGTCAATTTAGTTAATCTGGATTTTGAAATTTTTTTTTTTTCAAACCCTCGTATTTAACGTATTTAACCAATTTTGTCATTTTCTTTGTATATTTTGTATTTGTATATCTGATATTTGTATATACTCACTATACTCTCTTTGTTCGTTTTTAAAATACTTAACTGTTAATCTTAAGTTCACTATACTCTCTCAAATACTTAACTGTTAATCTTAAGTCGGGATGAGCAAAGAAATTAGATTAAAAAGTTCGCAATCATTCAAATGCATCTTGCGTAATTGAACATCATATAAATAAAGTTCGTTTCATATTATCAAACTAACAAAAGCTAAGTCAATGCAGCCTAATTTTTTGTGTACTCATATAATATATTACCAGTCTGAATCATATTGCATACCAAGTATTGTACTTTAAATAGAATGAATCCCTTCATATTTTTGATTTGTTAATGTGGCTTTCTTCTACAAGACTTTCTTTTACAAGATATGATGAAAAGATATGATGAAAATCAACCAATAGATAACACATTAACACATTATACACATTATAATTTTCTTTTTGACCATTGTATACATGATATTTATCAAAAGTATAGCATTGATGATATAAAAAAGGGTTTGTAGTTAGAGAATACTAGAAATTTTTAGGTTTAGTTATAGAAATTTAGTCATAAAAAAGGATTTGGATAATGTAATGAAGACTTAAATATATAAAGTTTTCTTCTACAAAGCTTTCTTTTACAAAATATACTAAGAAAATAATACATTAACACATTATAATTTTCTTTTTAATTATTATATATATGATGTTTATCAAAAAAGTATAGCATTAATGATATAAAAAAGGGTTTGTAATTAGAGAATACTAGAAATTTTTAGTTTTAGTCATAGAAATTTAATTATGAATTTGAATAATATAATAAAAACTTGAATATATATATTTAAGTTTTCTTTTATAAGGCTTTTTTTTACAAAATATAATAAAAATCAACTAATAAAATAATATTACATTAATACATTATAATTTTTTTTTTTGACTATTATATATAAAAAATATGGCATTAAAAATTTTTAGTTATAATGTTATAAAAAGGGTTTATAATTAGAAAATACTAGTTTAATCATAGAAATTTAGTTATAAAAAAAAATTTATTATGAATAATGTAATGAAAATTAAAGGAGATTTAAATATATAAACTTACTTTTTAATTATTCTTTAAAAGATTTTAGTATATTTAATTTATATGTATTATATAATATATTATAAATAAAATAGTTAACATCATGTTTGGAAACTAATAGCTGCTATCATGACAGAACAATATATTAAGTCAAGTGATATTGCGCTTTTATATAGTGAAATGGATAGTCATAGTGCTTATAATGAATTGGCTGAAGACATCTTTCTCAATTATACGTTTAATGAAGATGATTTCACTATGATATGAGCCTTTAAAGAAGATACTCTTCCAAAAAGAAGAATTGCAACAAAGGAAGATTATAACATGATGTATCATATATTCATCAATTGTAAGTTGACGGCCACAAAAGCTGTGAATTATAAATATAAGTGCAGCAGAAACGATATAGAATATGATATGAATTTAATAGATCAATGGTATAACAAGTCTTTACAAGCGTTGGAATGACATAAGGAAACTAAACGTCAATCTAGACATGATAAACGTAATGACCATAAATAAATAGTTGATTATTATAGAATTTGCTCTTAAAGTGTGTTCAGTGAAACATTTATTTTCTTCTTATCATCTTTTAGATAGAACTAATCTTATATTTTCTTTTTTCATTATTCTACACCTGACAGTATTTACATGTAGCTAATAATAATAGTTAGAAAGAAAAATACAATTTACATGAAGGAGGTCATTGGTCAAATTTTTAAGTCTTTCATGACAAGTCACCTTTAATCTCAAGGTGACAAGTCAGTCTTTTCCTTTAGAAGGGGCAGTATGTTGATAATGTTTAAATTTATTATACCTTATTTTATTTTACTTTTGTAAATATATTGTATTATTTTAACATTATTATTAATAAACATGATCGCGCCTTTACAAAAATAAAAATAAAAATAAAAATAAATAAAATAGTTAAAATTAAAATTATATGATTAATTATAATTATATACTAATATACTAATATAAATCTATTTTATAAATACTACTTGAAGTTGTAAAATATTTTAAAAAATTCATTTATATATTAAGAAAATATTAAATTTATTATACTAATAACTATTTTTATGGGTTCCGTGATCATCAGACATTGAAGATAGGGCTTTTATGACTAAGATGACCCATTACTAAACGAAGTCTACTTACAGAGTCAAACGATCACTCGACAGTGCACATGTGGGTACTACCGGTATTATACTTCTCAGTAGAATTAAAAGGTCAATGTCAAAATATTACGGCATAGCCAAAAACAATTACGTCAGTACAAATGTTTACTAATAAAACATATAATTATGGTGAATTACGGCATTTTAATTATGTTTATCATAATTCAAAAATTCAATTTCGCTGATAAATATAACTGGTATGACGAGTGGTTTGTAGTTTAATTATATTAGAGTAGTTATTAGGGAATTTTACTTTGTATATATTTTCTTTATTTTTTTACTTTAATAAAACTGCAAATGCGCTGCAAAAAAAAAAAAAATAAAAAATAAAAAATGGATATAATGATCATTGAAAAGAGTTAACCTAATCACATTTTAATGAAAAATATATATACTTATTTTTATAAATAATTTGTAAATCTTATTATATAAAGTTATGGTACTATACAATAAAAATAAATAAAGATTTATTTAGATTAAAGTTCCGAACAGGTTGACAAAATTTAGGTAACCTGATAGATTGACCTAAATTTATCAGGTCTTAGCAATTGCAATTCAGCATCAGTTCAGGTTGTAATATCAATATAACCTGAATAATCTGTTAACCTGAAACTATAATTTTATATAATATAAGCGATGGTATTATAATTCACTTTTTATATTAATTTTATATAATAAAAGTGAGTTGTGATATTAGAATTCACTTTTTATATTGATTTTATATAATAAAAAGTAAATTACGATATTGGGATTCACATTTTATATTGATTTTTATATAATAAAAGGTGAATTGCAGTATTAGAATAGGACCCTGAAATCTATATATTAAAAAACACTGCAATCACNATATAAAAAATAAAAAGATATAAAAAAATAGCATTAGATGAAACTTTTTCTAATTGTATTTACATGTTTTTTTTTATTTTAAAATACCTTTATTTTTATTTTTTCTTCACTTCTTTTTTTTTTTTCTTTTATAGAACTTTTTCTTTGGTTATATTTAAAAGTAAAAAATACAATAAGTACAAAATGAAAATTTATTCTTTATAAAGCTTCAACTTTAACAGTTTAACAGAAATATACTCAATAAAGTGTTGCAGTTTCATTTTGCAATAAATATGAAGAGTTTTATTTACAATAAGCAATAAGTAATGAACAGTTTATATACTTTTTACAGTTTTTACATAACAATTACCTTTATTTTAACAGATCTATTTTATTTTTAATATTGAATAGTATTATAAAGAAATATGTTAAATCTTTTTTAATATAAATTCTTAACTTTTTTACCTATACTTCTAATTGTTTTCTTATATATACCTGTTAGTTTTTTTAATTTCTAAAAAAGATTTATACAATTTTAAACTGCAGCTATATTTTATTTATCAAATATATAAAAATAATAATATAATTAAATGTTACAAATGGTTAAAAAATGTATTAACTTTTACTATTTAAAGATATTTTTTGTTGCATAATTTACATAATTTTGAAATTATTAATAATATATAAGTAATTATTTATATAGAAATATGAATTTATTTATTACTTAATATATTTCTTTTTATATTTGCAATCTTTTAGAATTATAACAATTACTGGATTTAAAAGAAACCTTTCATTTTAAATAAAACTTTAGAATAATAAATAATTTACAACTTTATAATAACATACTTAATTTAATATTCAGTTATATATTTATTTAAATTGTAAAACTAATCAATCTCAATTTATTTTAAACAAATTCTGGATATTTAATATAGCTTCATCTTCAATATATATTGAAAAAAAAAAATATATAATAAAAATAGTATTATATAGTAAAGTAATTTATTTTCTTTTTTTTTATTCAATTTTATATAGATCATTATATTTTTCTTTCTATATACAGAATTCATTTTATTTTTTTTTATATTTTATTTTTTTCTTTTAGTTTATATTTAGCTTTATTTTATAAAGTTTAAATTATATTAAAAATATTTAAACTTAAAAGTTGTAGGTTTTAGTATTGTAATTTTTATATTGAAATAATATTATATTTAATAAAAGAAATATTTTTTTAAGTTTAAATCATTATCAATTATATGTATTAATAAATAAGATTAATTACAATTCAATAATATAATATCTTAAAGAAGTAGATAAAATTCAGATAGTAAATCAGTTTAATTATATATTTTTTATGTTAATTTTTAATTAAATTTAATAATTTAAATAAAAACTTTTTTTAAAGTTTATTTAAGAATTGAATTATAAAAAATATTTAAAATAATAAGTTTTTTTTCTTATTAATTTGCTTTGCAAAAAAAATTTACAAAAGGCTACAATGCAATAAATTCTATATATAATTATCTTTGATATAAAACTAGTTTTTTCTTCATATGATTTAACCTAGATAACATCATCTATGTAAAATTAAATCATATGAACCTGATATGTATGTATATTATATTACTCATAAAAAAAATAGTAGATTAACAGTTAAGGTTAGATTAGAAATTTAGGGATTTAAAGTTAAGGATTAGTTAGGATTAGAATTATAGCTAAAGAATTAGGATTAGAGTTGTTAATTTGATGATGTTATTTTAAAAAGTGAAATTTACAGTTATAAAAGTTATAAAATTTAATTTTTAATACAAGTGATGTCACCTAGATGATATCTTCCAGAAAAAAAGTTAGCAAAATTCTTATTTTTATATAAAAATAAGGTGTTTATATTAAAATAGACTATTTTTATAATCTACCTATTGAATAATAAAATAAGTACATATATGAAGTATTTATTTATAGTTACTTTAGTAATTAATAATATTAAAATTGATTAAATTTATAGTTAATTTTTTTGTAATTTATTTAGTTTTAATAAATTATCAAATATGTTTATTTAGTTTTAATAAATTATCAAATATGTTAAAAAAAAAAAATAATATTAAAAGAAAAAAAAATAAAAAAAAAAAAAAAAAAACTTTAAAAATATATTGTAATATAAAAATTATTATATATAGTGAATTATAAAAAATAACTGATTACCTAAAAATTAAATATATTCTTATTAATAATTTTATTTTTATTTTAAAATTAAAAATGTAAAACTTATTTTAAACTATTTTTTTACTTAATTAATGTTTTATTAATTAATGGTAATTATATATAAATATTTAATTTTTAAAATAAAATTTTTTCAACATTTTAACTACACAGGTCAAAAAGTGAAAAATCAGGTATCAATCAATCACCAATTGGTGACTGATTGGCATTTTCGCCAAATACCATTTATTACCAATCAGGCAGTTTGTTAACTTTTGATCTAGTGATCAGAAAAGGATGAAATATAGCTCATTAGGATCGTCTTAATAAGACGAATCTAATAGTAGTAAAATCACATTTCTAGGATTAATAGTTAATAAAAAATTAAATAAAATATAAATGATATATTTTTATTTTTATATTTTACTTAATTTCTTATCAAATATTAATCCTAGAAATGCGATTTTACTACCATTAGATTCGTCTTGTTGAGATGATTCCAATGAGCTATATTTCATCCTTTTCTGATCACTGGATCAAAAGTTAGCAAACTGCTTGATTGGTGACAATATTTGGCAAAAATGCTAATCATCACCGATTGGTGAATAATTGATGCCTGATTTTTCACTTTTCAACCTGTGTTAAAGCAACTAAAGTAAAATAAGTATAAAAGATTTCAAAAATTCAAAAAATTTAATCATTTTTAATAATTAGTAAAATTGATAATTTACATATAAAATTATAATAATTTTACTAAAATTCATTAATTTTAAAAGTAGATTTCTTAATAACTACTAATTAAATCTTTCTAATATTTTGAAAATAAGTAAATTTTAAATTAAAGAATCATTTTTTAGCATTTATTTTTCTAATTATAAAATTTTTTACTTTAAAAAATTAAATATTTATATATAATTTTATTGTTAATTATATAAAAAAATGTTTATAAAATGGATTTTACATTTCTAATTTTAATAGAAATATAAAATTATTAATGAAAACAGTTAAATTTATTTTATTTTTAAGTGATTAATTACTTTTTATAACCTACTATATATGATATTTTTTAAAATATTAAAAACCTTTCAAATATTTTTTTATTTAAATTTTTATAATAATACTTTATATATAACATATTTCTTAATATTTTTCTAATTTAATAGAATTATTTATTATTCTATTAGTACCAAATTTGACAATTTATTATTACAATAAATTATTGTTATTTATTTAATATAAGTAAAAATTTATTTTTAATTTTACTTTTTTTTTTAAAACAACTTGTATATTACTATATTAAATATTTGATTTTAAATATAATTCTATTTTACATCTTAATTATATAAAATTATAAATAGCAGTTATTATAGTAGTAAAGGTATTGTATTTAATAAATTATATGAATAATATTAAGAAAAGCTATAGAAATTTTAATGATTTTTAAAAATAAAATTTTTTGATTATAGTGTATATAAAATAACGTAACATTAATAGTTAAATAATTGACTCTCATAATTACTAATCTAATTTTATGAAAATTTACAAAACAAATTTTATATTAATATTAATAATTAACAGATTATTTAAAGAAGAAAAAAAAAGTTTTTTTAAATTTAAAACTATTATTTTATTTACAAATATATAAAATTTTTAAATAAAAATAACTGATTATTAATTTTAAAATTTCGAATCTATGAAATAAAAACTAATTTTTTAATATTATATTACCTAATATCAACTTGTATTTTTTATTAGCTAATTTTATCAAGTTAATTAAATTTAAAAATCTGATATATTATAATTATAAGAAAATTAAGAAAATTATAACTATAAAAATCTGACTTTTTAATCCAAAATTTTTAATGATTCTTTATATTTTTCCTATTTTTCCAAATTTTATCAAAAATTTTTTAAATTTAATAATTTGATTATTTTTCCATTTTTTTTAATGAATTTTTTCCAATATATATATACCAAATCTAATTTTACTATTCAATTACTTCTACTTAATAAAGCATTATTTTCAATAAATATTTTTTAAATTCAAAAATATCTTTGTCTATATTTTATCATATTTCTAAAAATAATTTTTAAAAATAACTTTTAAAATTTTTCAAAAATATTTTAAATTCAAGATATTTTATATAAGAAGTATTTTTATATAAAATTATAAATATGTTATTCATTTTTTTATAATTTTAGAAATACTTAAAGATAATCAATAGTTTATTTAAAATTTATACAATAAAAAGTTTACATATAAATGTTAAAAATTTTACAGTAATCTTTATTAGAAATAGGTGAAATCCTAATCTTACATAAAGATAAACCAATTTGTCTTTTATAGTATAAGATTGGTAGGATTGCTATCTTTCAAGACTGATAATTATCTTTATAAATATCTCATGTATATACTTAAAACTGGGTTTGAATTAATTTGCTTGCTAGTTTTGCAGTTGCAATCTATTATATAGATTGATATATAGATCATTTCTTGCTATTACAAGCTCAGGTTGCCTATATTTGTTTTCACATATAATTATATGGCCAATGTGATCTTTAAAATACCAATGTCTTCTATTTTGTCATTATGTTTCTGGTAGAAATATTGTTCTGATTAGGTGCATGAATTTCCAGATTGTTTGTCATAACTATCAAATCAATATATTGCACATTTCATTTTTGTTTTCTTCCATTTGTATCCATTAAAAATTTATTTTGCATTTATATGAAAAAAAATTAGTTTAAAAGAAATTCGTTATTTATTTATAAAATTTTCATTGTTCAATGCTACTGTGTACTGCATTTTATTAGTAAAATTCATATAATTAAATGTGTACTACACTAAAGATTCTGCAATTCGTTATATTAAAATTCGCTATAGAAAAAAAAATACTGATAAATAAACAACAAAAACAATAACTGATCGGATGGTTAATGTTTATCAATCATCTGCTCAAAATTAAACTTTGCGATAATCTATTACATTTTTATGACAGTCTCTTATACAAACAGACTTGTAAAGATAAATTAGAAAAGGGAAAAAGGGAGGAGGTATATATATATATATTTTTTATTTGACTTTAAAGAAACACTTATATTCCTTTCTTGTTTTGGACTCCAGGTTTCTTATACAAACCGGACTTTAAAGGTAAATTAGGAAGGGGAGGTGTATATTTTTTTTTTTATTTATTCAACTTTAAAGAAACGTTTCTAGCGTTTTTTTCTTATTTTTTTTCTAGTGATTCTCTGGGGACGCCAGTTTCTTATACAAACTGGATTTTAAAGGTAAATTAGGAGGGGAATAATGTATGTTTGCTTTTTTATTTTAGAAACATTTCTAATGTTTCGTTTTTTAGAAATACTGAGTTTCTTGTACAAATCAGACTTTAAAAGTAAGGGATGTGTTATTCTTTTTTTATTTAATGATTTAAAAATCATTTCTAACATTCTTTTTTATTTTTTTCATTTTTTTCATTTTTTATTTTGTTTTGCTAATCTTGGTTCATTTGTTAATTTCTTATTTCGCTCTAATAAGAAGTTTTTTGAACAAATATGACGATTCAAAGTCGAAAAGTTTGGAAATACAACATTCATCTAGAGAAAAACTTTCCCTTGCACTCATTTAAAAAAAGTGGGTTGTTAAGTTCTTGTCAAACAACCTGGGTATCTATTTTGATAGTGAACGGGTACCCAATAAGTTTAAAATTTTATTACACTTTACAATACTGATTTGAAAATTCTTTTCATTTATTAAATCATAAGCATAAATTGAATTACATTAAAGCTGTCATAATGCCTAGGTTTAAGGCAAAAAAAACTAGTGATGCAAGTTGATACTGATTGGTTTCGCCGTTACATAAAAACCTCAATAAAGCAAGCACTGGTTTTTAATTCTTGCCACAGAAACCAGACGGAGATTCCTTGCATTTTTCGCAAAGCTCTCTTTTGTGCCCCTCTAATTTTTTTTCACTGTGAGGATCATTCATAGAGTTATCAAACTTTTCTTTAAAATAGCTATAAATTAAACTTTGTTTAAATCTTTCCTCTAGATAATTATTTAATAAAATTTCCTCGTCAAAGTCAGCAACTTGCTCACATTTTAAACAGCAGAGGTAATATTTCTTTACTAACTCTATATTTCCTTCATTTACTTTCAATTTGGCATTGCATAGGGAAGAAGAAAATTTATGACCACATTGACAATGCAAACTCCAATAAAATTTAATTTCTCGTTCATATCTACTCTTTTTGTTCAGAATTTCTTGAAAGTCAACATTTCCAACCTGATGAAAAGTTTCAACATGTTCCAAGAATTCCGGAAAAGTGTCAAAACCCGATCCACATTTACAAAGAAATTTGTAGTAAATTCTCTTTGTTGCTTTAAGGTTCTTTTTTGCGTTCTTAGATTTTTTTGTCATTTGCTTTTCCTTGTGAATAAAAGAAACTTCTTTCAAAGTTTTGGTAAATGAATATATTTTTTCTTGTTAAGAGAAAAGTAGAAAACAAAAAAATTTTGCATTTATTCATATTTTAAACGACGTGAGATATAGACACGTGTAGCAGGTCTGGATTTAGGACCGTTTAAATCCAGGCAAAAGCATATGCTAATTACACAATACTCTAATGTAGAATTAGATAAGAAAATTACCAGTCAGAAAATACATGGTGCAAATTAAGAAAACCTTACAAGGAATCTAGAAAATAAAAACATTTTTTATGAACAATAAGAGAACCAAAAATTTGGTTTCTTAACACAATTAGCAGAATATATGCGCGGATTTTTGGAAAGACATATTAAGTCTGCGTCAAATTTTATAAGTATTTCATATAGTCCAGTGAGGTGCTTCAAATCGGCTAGTCCAAAAATGCCGCGGATATGACTCCATTTTTGGTAACATCTAAAGCTGTTTTCCATTTTTACTGTGAAATTTATTTGTCACGCCTCTATTTGTCACATAGTTAATATGACAATCACGTGATAGAACCCGACCGTATCATGGATTTTATGACACGTAATAAATTTCAATATTTTTTCCAACCTTCAGCAATGTTTGCCTTATTTTTATAATGAACTATAGCTGTATGTATTTGCTTTGTAATTCTAAGCCTAAAAATTATTGACAGTTTGGCAAGAATTATATGTCCAGATAGTTGGTCTTAGGTTTGGCTCTTTTGAATGTCAGATATCTACTATATATATAAATCATTTAATAAATTTATTATAGTCAAATAACATGTGATTATATAAATCTGCCAATATTTGATATATTAAAAAAATACTTAGAAAATAAAACATTTTTTTTATGAAAAAAAAATGGTAAGGCACTTATAGTAAACTTTCAACTTGCAACTAAATCATTTCTAAAGTTGGTAGCAGTACTTTTATTACTTTTTCTCTTAACAAATTCTATATTAATAATTCAAATATCATTTAGTTAAAGATTTTCCAAAATAATATATTTTTTCTACTTATTATGAATAGTTTAAAAAATAATATTAGAAAAATTGGCAGAATTTTTAATAATGATATTCAAATATTTATTTTCAAATTGCTAGATTGTAAAGAATACAACATTAATAAAAAAATATATATATATATTAGCAAATTTGTGTAATTATATATCAATTAAACATAGTAAATTAATTAAAGAATTACTATAAATTTATTATAGTCAAATTAAATTTTATAATATATTGGTAAATAGTAATTGATTTTTTAGATAAATAATTATGTAAAATCTTTTATTATATTTTTAAAATTTAAAAATAATACAATGCAGATTGTTTATTAAAAATATTTAATAGCAAATATTAAATTTTTGATTAAGATAATAGATATACTTATAATTACTATGTCAGTCAATATATTTTATTTTTGATAGAATTATATTTATTTATTTATTAATATAGTAATTTTTTAATAAAATAAATATTTTATAGATATTAATTATATATAAAGTTATAAGAAATAGCAAATTGTTATTAAAATGCTATATTTATAAAAACATATATCAAATTTATAAAACTAATAAATTAAATTATATATATGTGATAGGAATAGAGCGAGAACTCTTTCTACTGATTGCATAGACCATTTTTTTTCCACAATTTTTCAGCAATATTTTTTGAAATAATGGCTTTCTTGTCAATCAACAACCCTCAACCCATATTTGGATAATGATAATGATAAAACCTTCAGAAAAGTTCCTTACTTTAACCTGATTTATGCTACCATTTTTGTATAAACTTTTTAGTAACTTCAAAGGTTGATATTATTTAAACTGTAGAAAATATTAGTGACAATAGATCAGAGGCTTATAACTTTTTACTAACTAATAATTATCCTCAGCTTCTTTCAACTTTTGAAGTCAGTGACAAAATGAAATTATTTACTTTCTCTTTCTTTTTTACAAGTATTTTGATAATATTCAGCAAAATATTGCTTAAGAGTTTAATACTTCTTGCTAAAAGTTCAATTAATGTCACAATAATAAATTCAAGATACTGTATGTTCAAATCAATAGAGGATTGATGAATAGATATAGAAATTTTAGAAATATCCAAATATCAATCAAAAGCTGCAGCATAACAAGAGAAACTAATTAGCATCCTTTCAGCAAAAACTACTAATAATCTTTATACAATTTGATTTATTTATTTGAAATTATATGATATAATTATATGGGTTTAAAATTTGTGCACACCTGCGCATGTGCGCATCCCCATGGATATATTATATATAAAAGTCAAAAATGACATTCTAAACCCTTCATGGCTCATTAAGTAAAGTTGTAGAATAGGCAAAAATACGCATAGTAAATAAATTATTAAGGTTCTATAATATGTACGTAAGAGTTGCAGCATGAATATTTAAAAAAATTGGGATTTTACTAAAGTCACGTGATAAATAATGATCGACAAATTTACTATATAAAAATTACCAAAAATGGAGGGGTGCGCACATGTGCGGGTGCTATTATTTTAGTCAATTTTAATTTTATTTTGATTTTAAGTCTTTTAAAACTAAAATATTTTAACTTTTAATTTTAACTTTATGCATAGTTTTAGTTTATTCTAATTCTAATTTTATATATTTTTATTTTTAGTTTTATTTAAAATTTTATTTTTAGTTTATTTAATCTTAATTATTTTTTTTTTAGTGTATTTGAACATTTTCATTGTACAGTAAGAGTAAAAAGTCTCTCAAATTTACAATTAATTATAACTTATAATTAAATAAAAGTTTTGACTAGTTATACTTAAAAAAAATAAAAAAAATAAAAAAAAAATCTTAATTATTTTTAACTTTGGTAATAATTATAATAATTATTAAGAATCTATAAAATTATATAAATTATAATATGATATAGTAAGATTATAGATTTTAAATGTATTTTAGATATTCTTTAAATAGTAAAACATTACAAATAAATTTATCTGCAATTTTACTCAAAAATTCAGTTTTTATTTAATTTTATAAAAAATGAAATTTTAATAAAAAATTTTTGTTTTTAAAAAGCTTAAATCATAATTTATGTATTAATAATAATTATTATTTATTAATTATATATTATAAAATTAAAGATTAACTATTAGTTAAAAGTTGTATTTTTTAGATAACAAAAAATTTTGAAATTTTATTGTAATTATATTAAAGCTTAATAGAATATGTAAAATTTGTTAAACAACTTTTATTATTATAATTTTTTAATATTTAAATTTTAGAAGTAGGATTTAATTTATATAAAATCTTAAAAAAAAAATTATTTTTTTAAATTTATAAAAAATACATGAAGTTAAATTTATAACTTACTTTCTATATTATTTAATCCCTATAAAAAATATTTTTGCTAAAATATACTTAAAATAAACTTAAAATTTTATTTTATATTTAAAATATATTTAAAATTTTATTTTATACTTAAAATATACTGAAATAGGCAAAAATTAAATATCATTTAAGTATAATTTAAGTATATAATAATATACTTAAAATATTCTTATTTTAAATATCCTTAAAATATACTGAAATGGGCAAAATTTAAATGTAAATTAAATATATTTTAAGTATATATTAAATACAATTTAATTCAAATTTTGCGAAAATTCAATTTTCAGTATATTTTAAATATAAAATAAAAAAATTAAGTATATTTTAAAGAAAATTAAATATATTTTAAATATATTTTAAGTAAAATTTTTTTTTATAGGGAATAATTTTTTAAATAAAGAAATTAGTTAGATTATATGTAAATATTATATAAATAAGTATTTATTTATTATTTTTATTTTATTTATTAAAGTATACTGAAAGGTTTATAAGTTTTGCTAACTTGCTCCTTGAGTTAAATAATCCAAGTTAAATCATCTTTCTAAAAATTTATATTTTATACTAATCAATTTTAATTGGTTAATTTAATTTATTATTGAAAATTTGCAATACTTTTATTCACAAAATTTTTTTGTACTATAATGATTTAAAAATATTTAATCAAAGTTTATTAATTAAAAAAAACTATCAAATTTATACTTTATTTATTTTTAACAGGATTAGTAATTATAGTATATATATACAAAAAAATACATGACAACAATAAAGCAAACAAAAAAATAAAACTATAAGAATAAAGAATGAAACTCATAAAAAAAGGTAAAGAATAAATGATGATGAAACCTATAAAGTTAAAAAGTAAAATTTGTAACATTTGAAAAGTAAAATATATTAAATCAAAAAGCAGTATAGAGTAAAGAAAAAATAGTTAGTAAAGAATAAAAATTAAAAAATAAGACAAAAACCTAAAGACTAAAAAATAAAAAAAGATACCTATCACATAGAAAAAAAAAAAAACCCTCATAATTAAATTTAAGAGCAAACTCATAAAAAAAGTTAATAATCAAATAAAAGCAAATTAAGAGCAAAACGTGTCACATAATATTGAAAAGAAAGGAATTAAAGAATAGTATAAAGAAAAGAAAATATAGTTAGTAAGAAATAAAATTGAACTCTGAAGCAGCGTAAAGAACGTGAAAGATTCTAGGCTGTTGTTATATATATTTCTAAATCTATTACTAACAATATTGTTTACAATGTGGAGAATCCTACCCAATCTATGCTATCACAACTGGATAGTGCTTTAGCTTTCAAGATTATTCAAGAGTTTGAATTGTGGGCATAAGAAATTAATTGCGTATTTTGATACTTGGGCAAGCTTAAATAAAGTATTCAATACAGAATTCAATTTCAAAGAATTTAAAGGTGTTTGGACTTAATATTTTTCTCTCACCTTGAACTGACCTAGAAATAAGCCACCAAAGAAGACGGATTTTACTCAGAAGCAAAACCAAGACAAAAATCTGAAAGTTTCACAGAAGGACATAGATGGACAGAAACAGAAGGGGAAGTCTTTAGAAAATAAGAAGCATTTTACTTTAAATAATAAAGGCTTCGACAACAATGACAAACTATTAA